GAGAATTAATGTCATGTTCCCCTACTTGTAAGAAAACTTTGGTTGGAAGAAATTCAACTGCATTTTGAAAGCAGGGACTGTAAATCAAAGATTTAGTAGTTGTAGTTGTCATATTGTAATTTTTGTATTTACTACCACCCGGTAAATTCAAAAATTACAATATGACACCTCTCTGACTAGTACTGAAACACCTGCTTACATAATTGTTTGGAAGATTTAATATTATTGTACCTACCCTTTGATAAATTTTCAATTCCAATTCTGAAATATGACTCTGACCTATAATTGCAAAGCGTTCTGTTAGGGGTTGAGAATGGAGAATAGCTGTAGTCGTATACAAGGTTTTAATAGAGACAGGGGATTGAACTGTGGCAGAGGAAGTAACTGAGGTTGAGATGTTGACGAGAAAGTCACTGGACTAACACCAACGCAATCCGGTTTCAGACCTAATGACTCTACGATCAACCAATTGTTGAGTATTACAAGAGATTTTTATAAAGCTGTGGACCAAGGAAAGGAGGTTAGAGTTGTATTCTGTGATATTAGTAGAGCCTTTGATAAAGTGTGGCATAGGGACCTTCTATATAAGTTAGAAAAAAATAGGTATCTCCGGAAAATTGTTTGAGAACTATTTATACAAAAGGAAACAACGTGTTGTAATAAATGGAGCGACATCGGACCTAGAATATATTAAAGCTGGGGTTCCTCAGGGTAGCATTCTTGGTACACTGCTATTTTGATATAGAATGTGTAATAAAACTTTTCGCGGATGATACATCGCTTTATGTTATTGTTGAAAATGCATATAGTTCATCTGATTAATAGTGACCTTGCAAAAAACAAGGAGTGGTCGAACACCTGGCTTGTGACCTTCAACCCTTCCAAAAACTGATGTTTAACACTATCTAGAAAAATTCGGAAACCATTTTATCCATTGCTTGTATTTAACGACCTTCATTTAAAAGAAGTCGATGCACATAAGCATTTGGGAGTTACATTTGCTAGTAATTGCAGGTGTAAGAATTTATTATTAATGCCTGACAATGACGCGTAGAGTTAAATTTATACTGGACAGAAAAACGTTACAAAATATCTTTTCTTTTTTTTTTTCTTTTTTTTTTTTTGTGAGGCCTATACTGGAATACGCTGATATAATTTGGGATAATATACCAGACTATTTAGTAAATAAACTTGAAGGTGTACAACTTGAAACTGCTGGAATAGTTACGGGAGGGAATAGAATGGCAGCTAGATACCTGTTATACAAAGAGGCGGGATGGGAAACCCTATCAAAAAGAAGAGAAAGTCATCATTTAATTCAATTCTACAAAATATATCATAAAAAGTTACCTGTCTCTTATTATGGCAATCATAGACATAGTTACAACACTAGACAAGAAAACTCACAAGAAATTCAAACTAGAACTCAATTATACTATATTTCCTTCTTTCCCAATACAAAATGTATTTGGAATAATCTACCTTTGATGATTCAAAACAGCCCCTTTCTTTCGAGTCTTAAATCATACTTTAATTCTAGTTTATCTAGAATACTCAATTATTTCTTTGTTGGGAGTAGGCTTGGTCAAATTTTACATACGAAACTTAGACCCTCACTGCTCAATGGCCCTCAGTGCCAAGCATAGGTCAAAATTTGCAGCTCTCCACGGATAGTGGTGGCGTCTCCATAGGAGTGAAAAATTCTCGAGAGGGACGTTAAACAACCAACCAACAAACAAACTTTATTATTATTATAGCAGATATAGTAGACTTGAATGCAGCTCTTTGAATTTACATACTAGTATGTTGCGTAGAAATCTTTGTATTTCTCCACTATGTTCATGTGGAGAGATTGAAATTTCTTACATTGTAACAATTTTATTAGTGTGCGAAATAGAACTATTCTTATAATACCTCATCCTACAACTGTTGATATATTACTATATGGTTCACAAAATCTTTCAGACAGGAAAAACCAAAATATTTTTCTTGTCGTTCAAAATTTTCTGGTTGAAAGTAAAAGATTTGAAAAACAAATCATTTGATATTTCTTTACAATGAGTCAGTATTGAAATTTTGTATGTGATTTGGTATGAATGAGTGAGGTTAATTTCTACTTGTTATGTTAAAATTGGAATTTTTTGAGATATTTCATCGATTTCAATTCCAGTAACTGTTTACATGTTTACACTATGTGTGTGTGTGTGTGAAAACGTTTTCTTTCTGAGTGTACTAGTATTATACATGTATTAGGTTTCATCTACGTATACTTACTCTCACTTGTTGAATTTGCAGGAAGAGAGATTGAGAGATTAATATAAACCTCATGGCTTGTTTCCCAATTCTACTGTATTTATTACTGGTGTTTTGTAACTTTGTCAATTTTGTCAATAAAATAATGTTTAAACTAAAAACTAAAATTAAATAAACAAATTGCATTATGGTTGGTAATTATGTTTAATATTGAATAATTTCAAATACCCTTTTTTTTCACTGTTGTTCTTTTTCTTATGTTTTGGTTCTTTGACTTTAATATATTTTATTTTTCCAAAATATTTTAAATTATGGCTCCACATAAAGGAGGCCTCCACGTGGCTAGAGCTGGACATATGGAAACTGTGAATAATTCATCGCCAAAAAATTCATATTTTCCTGATGACTGACGTTCTTATTAAAATAGTACATAGTACATAAATTTTGTTTTATTCATTTATTTATTTATTTTAAAGTAAATGACTTTTTATTAACTCAATTTGTATTGTTCTCTAATAATAGATTTTATATTACTATTGAATCAGTTTCTTTACTACATGTAAAAATAAGGTAAACAATGTAAGATTAATGATTCAAATTAGGCCAGGAGTATATTACATGGGCGGATACAGGATTTGTGATTAGGGGGGGGGGCGTGGATAACTTCGTTCAGGCAGGGGGTCTGGGGCCGCCTTAAGGGCCCCAGTGGGTTCAGGGCGAAGCCCTGGTGGGGGCCCAGGGGGCGAAGCCCCCGGAAGCTCCTGGGTTTTCGTGTATTTTAAGAGTAAAACCAGGCACAATAATAGTGGTATTGGTTAGTTTATATGTACCAAAGTTTGGCATTATAAATACTAATCATATCATACTTTGAATAGAGGGGGCCCAGGGGGCGAAGCCCCCGGAAGCTCCTGGGTTTTCGTGTATTTTAAGAATAAAACCAGGCACAAAAATAGTGGTATTGGTTAGTTATATACTTAAGTATGGCATTATTAATATTAGTCATATCATAGTTTGAAAATTTTAGGGGGGGCGTGCGCCCCCCACGCCCCCCCCCCCTTAAATCCGCCAGTGTATTAGGTGGGAACCAAACAGGTGTTTAAACAATAGGAGTTAATTGTGTCAACAATTGTGTATATATACACAAGGTGATTGCCTGAATCGTATCAGGTTTACTGATTTTTTTTTTTTTGGGGGGGGGGGGCACATAATATACAATAAAGGCAAATGGCAGAAGATTGGATTGAAAAAAATAATTAAATTACAGTTAAAAGAAATTTTAAGTAACCAAATTGTGAAACATCTTTAACAGACATTTATCAAATTGTAGTGTTTCCCTTTGTATTGTGACATTCACATCATTAATATATATGAATTAAATTCAATTGCTACCTGCATGCAACCTGAATAAATTTATTATTTATTGCGCAACTTGTCATTAACTAGGGACCTATATACTAATTTAGTTAGTATATAGGTCCTTGGATAAACAAATTGAAGAACACATCGTGAAAGACATTTGAATTTGATAAAGGTGATTAAACTGGGATAAATTTCCTAATTCTCGAAAACTTCTATTTAGTTACTTGATCCTTCCTGGCTATTTAAGAAATCACTGTCTAGTTTGTTGGGTATGTCAGGGCATCAACAGGCCCCGAAGCCCGTTATGCATAAATTATCCCACGTACGTTTCCAACTATCATTGATGTCCCTGGCATACCCAACAAACTAGACAGTGATTCCTTATATAATAATTTATATGTGAAATAAATTGTAAATAAAAATAAAAAATGTTGTCTAATATAGATATAAAATACACGAGGCCTCCATGTTAAATTTCAATAGTCCCCGCCCACTGACGTCAGACACAAACAAACAGACACAAACCGCTTCGCGGTTTATAAAGCGTAAACTGCCTTAAATGGAAATATATAACTAAAGGCCTAATTGACTTCATCATGATCAAAGATTAAATCACATTTCCTCCAAATATTATAATAATAAAAACTCAAAAAAAGTTCCCAATTTTCAAATTGTTCATTTGTAATATAAATTTATCTTTGATATATCAGTTATAATTAATTGATATTAAATTAATTTATAACTGATTTTAATTGTACTTTTAAATTATTTATTTTTATTCTTTCATAATTCATAAATCGAGGGGGGCTTAGCCCCCTCCCCACCTTTTTTTGCAAAGATAGACATAATATAGGCATTGAACATCGGGGCGTAGGTTTAGCGACCCCCCCCCCCCCCCCCACGAAATAGGATTTTAGGGATTGGACAATTTTCCTTCCATTTTTTTTTTTTTTGCTTGTCAAGTTTTTTTTTCAGGTTTGAATTTTTTCCTCTTTCAATTAGCCCCTCCCTCACTTTCAATTTGCTTCCGACGCCTGTGTAATTATCATATTAGGAAGATGAAATAATGAATGAGAATTTAGAAATGATTGATTATTGGATAATTCTATATAATTTCATATTTGATTTTTTTTCCCTATAATATGCACTTTTGTTGATATTTTATCAAAACTATTTTTCTCAATCATAATGGCATAATACGTAAACCATATTGGGATACATGAAATGTTCATATAAAAACAATATAGAAAGTGTATCATGAATGAAACATCTATAATATAGCTGTACTTTATTAGTAAGAGACAAAAAAACAAAAAACAAAAACAAAACAAAACAAAAAACAAAAAAATCGGGCGTGGTGTACGGTATACTATAAAACCCATCAATGGCGGTCGATTTCCTTCGATATTTACTTTACTATTTTTAACTTTACAATAAAATGGCTATAAAACCTTAGGGGTAAGGATTGAACTCCAATTGTCTATATTTGTTAGGTATTAGTAACCATATAAATTGAAATTTACTGTCGTTGCAGTTTTTTTTATCAGTCATTTCACCATATTCAACCTTCATTTCAGCAAAAACCGATCGTTTCGGCGTTTGATCGAGATTTTGGAAATAATGTCTCTGGTAGCTTATGGTGATAGTGATGAAAGTGATATCGAGGAAGGGACAGGAGAGGAACATCACGTAAAAAGTCTACAGGAGGATGTAAGATTGACAAAAAAAGAAGAAATATCTGATTCAGAGTCGGACAATGAAACGAGAAATGAAGATGATGATCTTTTTCATGACAAATTGAAGGGTAATATATATTCTGTTTATTTCCTAGTTATCTATGAAAAGCCAACGGGTTCAAAATTTCAACTCTGTAATTTTTAAAATGTACACATATTATGCACACGTAAACCTTAATTTGCAAAAGTCTGTAAATCATAATCTGCCAATTGTTGTATCACTATATGTTATAGTTTGTCCTACGGTGCTGATATCACCACTTTTTGCATATATACTCAATTCTTATTATAGCCAGGCCCATAGGAAGCAACTTCACTTTGAGGGGGCACAAGTCACACAACCATACATTTTCAGTTGGGGGGGGGGGGCACTATTAAGTACCAACCAAAATTCCTTGACAAGCAGAAAAAAAGAGGTCATCAGACATTATTATTGAGGGGGCACAAGCATATATTAGCAACTGATGTTTGTTTTGAAATTAAGGTCAAGACTGGGTGATATTTGCATTCACTGAAGGCTGATATTTTATAAAACACATGCTTTATTCTTGTTTATATATAAATTTAATTGAGTTATTATAGATATGATGTTTTTTACTGCCTTATATAAACACAAGGATTCTATTTACAGGTTGTTGGATATCTAGGAATTATCTTGAAATTTTATAAATACAGTCGCTGTTGCTGAAACTTCTTCATATATTTTTAAATTTTTATAATCAAGTAAAATTCTCATTCTGTAAGCTGCACCCTTATTATCTCACCTGAGCTGAAAGCTCAAGTGAGCTTTCTGATCACCTATTGTCCATCGTCCATCCGTCTAGCTGTCCGTCCGTCCATCTGTAAACTTTTCACATTTTCAACTTCTCAAGAACAACTTGGCCAATTTTTACCAAAGTTGGTACAAAACATTCCTGGGTAAATAGGAGTTTAAGTTGATAAAATGAAGGGCTAATCCCCCTTACAAGGGGAGATAATCAAGAAAAGACAAAAATAGGGTGGGGTCATTAAAAAATCTTCTACTCAAGAACCACTGGGCCAGAAAAGCTGAAACTTATATGGAAGCATCCTTGAGTAGTGTAGATTCTAAATTGTTCAAATCATGACCCAAGGGGGAGGGTGGGGCCCCAATACGGAATCAAAGGTTTACTTTGGAATATATAGGAAAAATCTTCTTTTCAAAAACCACTGGGCCAGAAAAGCTAAAACTTAATTGGAAGCATCCTGGGGTAGTGTAGATTCTATATTGTTCAAATCATGACCCCCTGGGGGTAGGGTGGGGCAACAGTAGGGAATCAAAGTTTTACATTGAAATATATAGGACAAATCTTTAAAAATCTTCTCCTCAAGAACCACTGGGCCAGAAAAGTTGAAACTTATATGGAAGCATCCTGGGGTAGTGTAGATTCTAAATTGTTCGACTCATGACCCCCGGGGGTAGAGTGGGGCTACAATACGTATTACAAGAGGAAAAATCTGGTGAAGAACAGCAGGGCCAAAGTTTCTCAGGTGAGTGTTGTGGCCCATGGGCCTGTTGCATTTCTACCCCTCGGCGGGGTTCTTTCTAATGGTCAGTTTTCTAGTTGTGTTTTATTTTACACTTCTGTGGATCCTTTACAGTGTTGTACTCAGGTGACCGTTAAGGCCCTTGGGCCTCTTGTTGTTAAATTGTAAAACATCTGCAGCAATGCATTGATTCTTAAAAAGTGACACAATTATTTTCTTGTGAACTATTTCTACATAGTACATTTTGTATAAAACATCATAGGTTAGAAATGCGTGCCTTGAAAATTATTTTCGATCTTGTTTTTGTTTCCCCTTTCTTTGTTGTTACTTTTTTTTTTTTTTTAGCTGGAATAGGTCTTGACTTTTCACTTTTAGTCATTTTTGCTGACACAGAGTGATGATGATTTTATTTAAGAAAGGTGGTGCTGAGACTTTTATAATATTGCATGAGGGAAAATTTTTATGTATAGTCTGTCCCACGACTGGAACGTCACCACTTTTTGCAAGATATCTCAAAATATATAAATACCTTGGCCTTCAACCTAGGTTTGATTGATTTTTTTCCAAACTTCCTGCATTTCTGCATTCCTGCACTGGTCAACCAGTGTATTGACACGGCGGCAAATTCAGTCTAGGGGGATTTAACATTGCCAAAATGGATGCCACTTCAGAGGGGGATCATCATTATTCATGATTTTACATACATTTCTGATTAATAACATAATCTGTTGTAAAATCTGAATAGGAGCAGAATCTTATACTATTGTACAACAAATTTTCAATTTGAATACTTTGTAATGTTAATGTTCTTGCTATTTAATTCTAGCTTTGCCCGAACCAAAGCACATACCAGCTTTTAAAGGATTGGCAGAAATTGATGAACTAGAAGATGAGGTGAAACCAAGGCCAGCAGAGCTTGCTGATGCCCCCAAACCTCCTCGTAAGAAACCTCGCCAGCCTGTCAGGATTACAATTCCATCCATTCCAGTATGATTAATAATTTTCCTTAAAATGATCTACAGCATTGATTTTGATAGTGTTATCTGTTAGTTCTTACAGATGTAGAGGATATTTCTTGTCAAGACTGTATCTTTTAAATGGAATGGGTTTGAGCTTGAGTTTATTTTGACCAAAACTGTTTGTCACAAATGCTTGGGGAGAGAGTGGTTAACTGAGTGGATGGCTGCATGAGTAGGCTGCATGAGTAGGAAGGTATGTAGTCAGTGGATGGTGGGTTAATGAGTAGTTGGTTGAGTTGATGAGTGAGTGCATGGCTGGGTCAGTATCAGTGAATTGAGGGGTGAGTTAATGGATGGGTGGGGGAGTTGGTGGGTGAAGTGCTAGCTGCAGATTTGAAGCTTCTGGTCTGAAAAAATTGGTGGATCGCAGATCCTCACTTAAGCCCGCCCACCATGATGATGATACATATGTAACTAAAATGTGAAATGCCAGACATGAGATGTAAACAATATGGCGAGTGAAATACTGCAAGGACATTTCAGAAGACTTTTCTGTGATTTATTTATTAAACACCATAAACCAGAAAAAGGGTCATGACCCTTATGAAAGACACTTTTATCAATGTTGTAATGTTGTCAACCTATATGCATATGGAGGCAAGAAATCATCAAATTATTTTAGTCCTTCTCCCAAAGTTTTCAAAGTCAACATTGACTTGAACTTGCAGATGCATGATGCAAAAGATGTTTGACAATGTACATTGCAGCTGCAAGGTTTGGTACATTTATGTATACAGTCAATTTTCATAATTAAATTTTTTCCATGTAAGAATGTGAAAATTTAACGTTCCTAAAAAATGTTAAAGCACATGCATACAAAACTGTTCTTACACTTATTGGGGGGTGGGGGGGGGGGGGGGGTGGGTGGGTGGGGAGGTGGAAGTAGCACTAGCCAAGGACAGATTGTTTATTTTATTGCCTGTTGAGGACAGATTATTATTTACAGTAGAACTCGGTTATAGCGAAGTCCTAGGGACTTGTGAATTTACTTCGCTATATCTGTAATTCATTACATCAGTATAAAGAATTTGTTTAAGTATATATAATGTATTCGCAATATCCATCTTTTCCTTCAAGTATGAATACCAAATATGATCAGGGAGGTATTTAATACAAAATTTTACTTAGGGTACTAAATATATCTGAGGAATTGAATTTCAAATCTAAATACTTATAAAAAATAATGTCAGTTTAATATTTTGAAGTTTAAGATATTGAAAATTCATTATAAACGATGTCAATTGCATTATCTTTAACCTATATGGGACAGAAAATCAGTTTGCTATATCGGTAAATTCGTTATATCAGAGTTCATTATAACCTTAACATTTTCCTAGGATTTGTTAAGAATTTTGCAGGGGATCCCAAGAAACTTCTTTATATCCGTGAATTTGCTATATCCATTTTCATATGAAAAAATTTTATTGTATTTTTAACATTTTCAAGGACAAATTATTTAGATAAACAGGAGGCAAAATCGCTCACATGAGCACATTGGCTAGGAAGAAGCAGAACTCAGTTCAGTATTGAACGGGGGGGGGGGGGGGGGGGAGGGGGGGCAAAATTACACTACCTCAGGATGCTTCTATATCATTACTACTAATCATGGCTTTGCTGTTCTTAAATAGATTTTTTTTTAGATTTTTTCCCCCTATGTTTTCCTGTGTAAAACTCTGATCTCTCATTGTGGCCCCACCCCACCCACCCTAAATTTGAACAAATTTGAATCTATACTACCTGAGGATGCTTCTATAATACTATGACTAATCATGGCTTTGCTGTTCTTGAGCAGAAGATTTTTTCAAGATGATTCCTATATGTTCTTATGCAAAACTTTGACCCTCTGTTGTGCCCCAACCCCTGGGGTAATGATTTGATCAAACTTGATTTTACAATACCTAAGGTTGCTTCTGTATAATTATGACTAATAATGGCTTAGTTGTTCTTGAGAAGAAGATTTTAAAGACATTTCCTATATGACGTGTATGATCAAGTTCTTACAAGGGATATATAGGTTTTCCTTTTACTATGTCTGAGTTAATGATTGGATTGAATTGGAATGATTATTAAGACAGCTCTGTCTGAGGGTATATCACACAGCGCTTAAATTGTCTCCTATCTAGAGAGGGAAGTGGATAAGGTACTACTTGCACAGTGTTTCTCCCCTAGGTGCCCATTGATAGATTAGAATCGAGTGTCTTTATGAATTAAAGAAACATTTCATATGATTGAGCAGAGGGTTTATGAACCTTAAGAACAGCAAGGCAATCAGGCACCTAGTATCGGGGGGGGGGGGGGGGGGGGGGGGGGCTGGCCCCTCCCCCCCCACCACTTTTTTCCAGACATAAGTTTTTTATAGGAAATGTTCATTGAAAGTCCGGTTGCCCCCCCCCACTTTTGGTTGCAGTATTGTCAAATAAGGGTAAAAGGATTTTCGAGTTTGCACAATTTTCTTTTTTTTTTTTTTTGCTTGTCAAGTTTTTTTCAGGTAAGTTGAAAATTTTTTCCTCGGGTTGGCCCCCCCCACTTTCAAAAACGATGCTACGTCACTGGCAATTATTAGTAATATTGATATGGAAGCATCCTGAGGTAATGTAAATTAAAGTCCCATCCCCCTCCCATTTAATAAAGAACTGATTTCTGCTTCTTCCTAACCAATGTGCTCAAGGTGAGCGATGTGGCCCATGGACCTCTTGTCATAAATTACCGTATATACTCGCCTATAAGTCGGTCCGCCTATAAGTCGGTTGTGATTTTCGAGGTTATTTTGGAGGGATTTGCCATTGACCCGCCTATAAGTCGGTACAACTTTTTGCCAGAATCGGTGGACAATTTCAAATCAATGCTCTAATGTTTTAACATGTGTTTCAAATAATATTTTGAGAAATTACGCCGATATTTTATCTCTTTTTTTTCTTCTCTTATAAATTTCATATCAATACTCTGATGTATTTACCTGTGTTCAAATAATGTGTTAGGATATGACACCAGTAATTAATATTTTTATTTTTCAACAAATTAAACCACTACCATTTTAGTTTTCTTTTTATATTGTTTTGTTTAAGCGTTAAATCCCTTGTCTTCTATATTTTATACACCGATCTCGATCATAGGCGGATCTCGGTCTCTTTGGCATGGTGATGAACTATGTAACGAGTCTAGCAACATTTTAATGATATTTAATTAGGAGGTGCTTAATGTCCAAGCCATATCTATAGTTTTTAATAACTCTATGTTTGATCTATTATTGGCAATTATTGTCTCTTAATTACCTGTATCCCTTACCTGACACCGTGTTTATTAAGTGGCTCGCGCCCCGAGAAAATTGTGTACCACACTTGGGAAGCATTTTCATAAACAATTGAGTTTTAATAGATTTCAGAATAATATTCTAATATTCTGAATTATTTTTTAAGAATATTATATCTATTGTCCAAAACATTGCAGACAGTACATATGATTATACATTAATGCTGAACGTATTATATCGGGTTCGCAATTCAATTTTACCGATAAACGATAGATCTACAGTAAGTCACAAATTTATGAAAGGAATATTTTTGATAATAATTAATCAAATAAATAATATACACTTGAGATCAAAATAAAATCATTAAAACATGTAAATACTTGTATTTTATATATAATCTTAGAATACATAAATAATATAATATGTCTAGACATTTCTTAACGATAATCGTCGATGTTATGTAAAAAATACTACATTTTGTCATCCAGAAAAATACCAAGCATTTGATGACTCGCCTATAAGTCGGACATAGAGTTTTGGACCAAATGTTAACTCCCAAAAATCCGACTTATAGGCGAGTATATACGGTAATTGTGTTTTCCGTCCATCCTTTTCCAATTTTTTGCCCAAAGTTTTTTTGACAGGAATCAAGGAACACTTTAAAGTTTCAAAAGGATTGGAGTAAAAGCAACTAAGAAAGATGAAATTAAAAAGTTACCACCTTTTGTCAGTTTCCTTGGCAACAGTGGCCATTTTGAAAATTTTGATTAAAGATTGCACATTTTCAGTTGGTGATCATTATGACAGTGGAGTTTCATAAAGATTGACCAAGACATCTTCAAGAAATTGTGAGGACAGCATTATTGGTCGAACAATAGCAATATGTCTCCCCAACTTCGTTGTTATTTTTTTTCCGACAGCATTTTTGGATATGAACTAATACAAGATAAAATTAAACATGTCACAGGTCAATATTGTCTTTTAAAATTGAATTTCATGTCTTTTTATGCACAACTCAAGTGGTATTTCATGAAAGTCCATATTTAAAACAAGAATTTCATGAAATGCTTGTTTTGTGCTAACACGGAAACCGATTACGGTGACAGAACGATGAAATACCGGAAATTCCTGATTTTTTTCCTTCCAAAACTTAAAAAAAACTTTAGGGTTGGGTGCAAAAAAAAAAGGGTAGGTTGGGTAGCAGGAAACAAAACTATTATTTTTTTTGGCCTAAACTTAGTTTGGGGAACATAATAAGGGGTTGATGAATCCTTTTAAATGAATCGAAGACATTATTGAAAGTTTGGTATCTCTATGATATACAGTTTGGGAGGAGTAGCGATAACAAGCTTTCATTGCTAAGGTTTTCTACTTTATTTCTTTTGAAAACCACTTCTTTTATCAATTCATCAACGTCCCTAAACTAAGAATTGTACAACCTGTATGAAATCTTACACAACAATCAGGGTTATACCTAAGAAATAAAATAGCAGGGGACATTAAAACAGTAGAAGGGGTCTCCAGTTTCTCCCCTAACAGGAAGGGGGGGGGGTTGAGGAGGACCAGAATAACTGGGGGGATTATGTCATTATAGGGGGGAAAGTTCTCCAGGTCTTGGGGACAACCCTGAAAATGATGCAACAGTTAACAGTTGCAACCATTGCAGGAAAAAAATTACATAACCCAATGACATGGGTTATATATTTTTCTGCATAAACAAATTAAGAAAGCATTTTATTGTAAAACATACCTCTACTGTCATTACTTGTAAAACATACTGTCTTCAATGTTTCAGGATCCTGATGATGATGAAGGTCCCTGCAAGAAACGTTCAAAAACCAGCAACAGTTGTAAGGTAAGATTCGAAAAAGATAAGGCCAACTTTAAAATAATGTTTGCTTGCCCTCTCCTGACTCAGTATGAGAAAAACTGAGTCGGTAGGTAGGTGAGAAATTTTTTTTTCAAAGAAAATTTCAAAATCAATGCTGAATTTTCAAAATCTATTTTCCGGAATGCGTAAAAAAAAATAATTGCTTCCTGGAGGTTAAAATAGTTTTGAGTCGGGCCATTTTTAGCCAGTCAGTCAGGAGAGGGCAACCAAACAATTTTTTAAAGATTGCCTAATCTTAAGAATAATTTTCCCTTTTAGTAACTTATAACCTTTATGATGAAATATATAGAGATAACGAACAGTATTCAATCTCAAAAGGATATTCAAACAATACAAATCAGGAACAGAGCAAACATGGACCTCTTAAACATCAGAGGTGGGATCAGGTGCCATGGAGGAGTGAGCATCCCCTGCCTACTGGTCACACCTGCCATGTGTTCCTTGTCATGATCAGGAAATAAAGGAAAAACCTGTTGGACAATTCAGTGGGTAATAGCCTAACAATTAGTATTAAAAAATATCAGTCAGCATTTGAATAAATGATAGATTGTATTTGCTGACAAGGTCATTTTATCAACCATAGAACTTAGGAAATGATGACTTAAAAGTTATACATAGGAATATATAGGAAAAATCTTTCAAAATCTTATTCTCAGGAACAACATAGCTATGATTAGTCATATTCATATGGTAGCATCCTCAGGTAGTGTAGATTCCAGTTTGTTCAAATCTTGACTCCCGGGGGTAGGGTGGGACCACAATGGACGATCAAAGTTTTACATAGGACTATATAGGAAAAATCTTTTAAGAATCTTGTTCTCAAGAACAACAAAGCTATGATTGGTCATATTTTCATGAAAGCATCCTCAGGTAGTGTAAATTCAAGTTTGTTCAAATCATTACCCCTGGGGGTAGAGTGGGGCCACAATGGACAAGCAAGCTTTACATAGGAGTATATAGGAAAAATCCTCTTCTCATGCAAATCAAAGCAAAGCTATGATTGGTCATTATCTATTTGAAAGCATCCTCAGGTAATGTAGATTCCAGTTTGTTCAAACCATGACCCCCTGGGGGGTAGGGTGGGGCCACAATGGATGAGCAAAGTTATACATAGGAATACATAGGAATTTTTTTTAAAAAAATCTTCTTCTCAAGAACAGCAAAGCCGTAATTAGTTATATAGAAGCATCCTCATTTAGTGTAGATTCAGATTTGTTCAATTCATGACCCTGACCCCCAGGGATAGGGTTGGACAACAATGAAAGTTCAAACTTACAGGAAAAAAGCTACAGTTCGGCAAAGAAATGTGTAAGCATCCTAAGTGTAGATTCAAGTTTGTTCAAATCATACCGCCCTTTTTTTAGGGGTAGGTCAGGGCCACTTATGCATTTATACTTTTTAATACTGAACTAATTTCTGCTTTTTTCTTAGCCATAGTTCTCAAGTGAGTGATGTGGCCCATGGGCTTCTTGTTTATGTTGCATTACTAATGAACCCTGGGTGAGGCATTTATGTCCTGTGGACATATTTCTAGTTTAAAGCATTCTTTAAAAATTCTTCAATTTGTCTTAAAATACTTCAAAACTCTAAAAAAAAAAATACAATTTTTTTTAACATGTTATATCATTTAAAATTGAAATAAAGTATGAATGTCTGCTTAAAAAGAAGATATAGCACAGATTTATTTCAATTTCCAGAATAAAAGTGGACTATTTGCTGTACTACCGCCACCGATTCATGCCACCATCAAAGAGAAAAACAGGGCATTAATTCCTCATACACTGACAAAGAAGCAAGTTCCACAAGCTATCCATGTAAAGTCCAGCTCATCCCCAAAGGAGGCAGTTGGTCCCCCCAAACCAGACCAACATGACAGTGATAGTGAGGGGGAGGATCAACCATCAAGTTTCTTTTCTTTGGGTTCGGATGACAATAGAAAAACCCTTGTATCTGGATTTTCATTGAAGAAAATGTCCCTTCCTCCTCCAGTTTCAGCTAATGCTAATGAAAGTCAAAACTTTATTTCTGGGGCCTCAAGGCCCACAGTTAATGTGACACTGAACAATGGAGAGCCTTCATTGTTTAGTGGGAGTACTGATCCCCAATATGCCCCCATACAATTTAAAGAATCTGCCCAAAATGTGTTCCATTCTTCCTTTTCTGAACCAATTTCTATGGACACTTCTACTACAGAACAGTTTGATGAACGATTTATTGAATCTGAGGTCAGTTCACTGGATATTTTGTTTCTGTAGTTTCTTTTTTAAGGTTACCGGAATCAGTTGGGTGATCTATTGCTATCTATTTTTGTCTTTTGTGTGCATCATACATAAAACTTTTTACTTTTTAACTCACCTGAGGTGAAGGCCCAAGTGAGCTTTTCAATCAAAATTTGTCCATTGTCTGTCATTGTAGTTGTTGTCGTTGGCATAGTTTTTGTTGTTGTAAACTTTTTCTCAATTTTATCTTCTTTCCTAGAACCACTGGCTCAATATCAATCAAACTTGGCACACAGTATCTGTAAAGCTTGAATAAGTAGTAAGGTTGAAATGCTTTATTTTTATGTGTCACACACAGATATTAGGGATGGAAATGGTTAACCAGTTAACCAACTAATTGTTCAGAAAGATCGTAACCAATTACAATTTTCATAAGTGGTTAATCAGATTACTTCGTAAGGCCATTCCAAGTTTTTTCTATGTTTAGCGTCCACGTGCGCCTAGGTTTTTGACACCCAATATCAGAAAAAACAAACAAAATCAGGAGTCCTGAAATTGATTATTCTGGTCAAAATCTTTGAATTCTGTCAAATTCTCTAAATATTTGTCTATAATATGTCATGTTAGGTTAACTTTAAGCATTTGATATCCTGATTTTGCTTAAGAATAGATCTTTCTATTAGAAAAATAGATTAATGAAATCAAAGCCTTTGATTGACCCCTTTTATATGATTATAAATTCTTTGTTTTATTTTTTGGTTTATGTGTTTTTTGCAAATAGGTAGGTAGGTTTTTGAAAGATGGGTGGACACTAAACAGAGAAAAAACTTGGAATGGCCTAAATTATATTTTTAAGTATTTTTTTCTTTAATATCAAAACTATTGGAGAGTTTGTTTAAATCTGTAATTCTACTCAACAATACTTTACAGCGTAAAAGTTCTAGTGTTATATATCACTATTAAACTTTGCAATTCATTCCATGTAATGCCTCCACAGCCATCAATGGCTTGGTGATACTTTAAGAGGATAAACATTTACAACCAAAAGGACAAAATGCTTAAGACCAAACAATCCTCACTTTTTAGGTCACCTGAGCCAAAGGCTCAAGTGAGCTTTTCTGATTAAGATTTGTCAGTTGTCTGCCATTGTCTTTCGTGTCTTTATCGTCAAAAACCTTTGACATTTTTAGCCGGGCTTTGCTGAAAGCAAAGTCCTGGCTGTAGGCATCGTGATCGACTGCCTTACTATAAATAGCACATGTTCAGAAAAGTAAACAAAAAGCCTAACAGCGTCAAAGCAGACGCTTCCGATAAACAAAATAGTCACATTGAAAGACGATACTTAAACAAATATTTTTTACATCTCAATCTACGGAATTGTTAATTGATCAATATTTTTGTTTGAGAATTAAATTGAAAGAGAAATTAAATATTTACTTTATTAGGTTAATCGTGATATAACAATTTGTGCACATACGCTACTGAATGCATATTGTAAGCGAACTATTTTCAATAAGCGCGGGCTTTTCCACAGGTTGCCTATATTTCATATCGTTTTCGTCGATGTTATGTGAGTGGTTATTGCAGCCCGGAGGACCGGGCTGCTCTATACATATAAGTTTAAGTGTTGGTATATGGGGATTGAGGTGGGAGAAGTTATTCAGAATTAAAGGTTTTCTAAACATTAAAAAGATTGTTAATCAGAATGTTCTTTCCCTTTATAAATTACAAGATACCAGAGACATATAAAAACCATATATGTCTCTGGAGATACACAATATATTTACTTCTATAAAGTGAATCTGTAAAAATATATATGTTTTTCATATTTAATATATAAAGTTGCTTATCATTTACTATCGAAAATACGACAGGTCCCTTTTTTTAGAACATCGAATTTTACTTATCGCATAAAAACGTAAAAAAGTACTTTACACAGTTTGTGTTTTATATTCTTTAAGTGAAAGACATTTTTGAAAAAATAGGTGATGCATGTGTCTGGTTTTAAATTATATTTTATGCAGCCAACATTTACTTGAGGAATTGATAGAGTTTAAAAGGGCATCGTTTTTGTTCGATTTTCATCCGACTATAAGTTTTCAAAATATTCTCGACTATCGTCCCAATCATTTAGACGCATGCCTTTTTCACACATATCGAAGCGGTTTGATGATCAAGACTCATTTCCATTGCTTACTTTATTTATTTCCCGGGCGACAATTGATGGTTACATCAATGTTTTCTTGTATTCTCTGTTTTGTCTTTCAGCAAAGAAATAGATAAGTAAATTGGAGTTTAAAGAATTAATTAATGTGCGTTATGCCTGAATTAGGTCGCCTGACAATTGTACATGGTGTATTTGGTGTATCTAGTCGGCGATAAAAGTACTGTTTGTTTGAAACTTTAAGCCGGAATATCTCTAAAAATATGTGCATTTCTTTAACTATGAATTACATAAATTATTAAACCAATATGAATATAATTTTTTTAAAAATTAAATTCTAATTCAAATATATCTAAAGAAAAATCAGCAAACCATATGGTTCAACATTCTTTTTAAAAAAAAGTTTGGCAATTGACAGACAAACATTTTTTGTAAAAAATTAATTGTTTTCTTAAAAGTTAAAATTAGTGACCTTAAATGTTTAAATTAGTGACATTAAATAAAACAAATGACTTATATATTCTCCTCACTAGCCATATGTTATTGGTAGAATTAAAAAAAATTGTATGACATTTTTTGTTCGTTTACTGATATTATAGCATAGTTAGTCTGAATTTACGTCCGTGATGCATGTATAAACAGTAAGCTCACTGACAATGTCGTGATATCTGTAATTGTTTTTTTAAGATCAGTATAGCATTAAGGTGTCTTGAATGGCAAGAAATTTAATGTAATAATGAATTTTAAAAACATCGGTGGTCATTTATCATGTTTATCAGATGTAATTTGGTACGATACCGTGTTAATTCCTGCTGATATTTTCAGGGTTGATCTTGTGAAAACGGCTTAACAGGAGACAATTTATTAAATTTTTCCTTTCAAAATAATTGCAAAAAGATGATGATTTTATGATTATATTAACGGCATAAAATAACAGCAAACACCGACTACTTGCAGCAAACAAGTGCGCCGCCATTACGAATTCGTAAAACAAAGAGACAGTTATGGATACTCGTAATTTTCTGAAAAAAAAAATGTGTAGGAGGTCAGTCGGGTATAACCGGAAACAAACAAATTTTTTTTAGCCTAATGATGTATGTATTTAAATATTCATGAAAATTAATCTTACAGTGGTAATACTGGTAATGCTGTAATGTTTTCAATATATTACTACTCAAATAAAAAAGTTAAAATTTGAATGCGTTTAAGAAAAGGGTTTGAAAATACGGTATTACTTCGATAACCCTGAATGCAATTAAAATAACTTTCTCCTTTCTAATAAATAATTTCGAACAAAAATCCTTATGATGGTTAAGATCTTGTGTTTGTATGTTGTTTAATGTCCCTCTCAAGAATTTTTTCACTCATATGGAGACACTACCACTTGCCGGTGGAGAGCTCCAAATTTTGTCCTATACTCGGCACTTACGGCCATTGAGCAGTGAGGGATCTTTTTCGTGCCAGCACCTATTGCGACACGGGACCTCGGTTTATACGGTCTCAACGGAAGGACCGGTCTCCACGTCCCACAGTGGGATTCGAACCCGCGACGTAAGGATTAACTCCTTACTTCGCCACTCTAGAGCAGACGCTCTTACCACTGCGCCACGCGAGCGACTAAGATCTTGTGTAAAGGTGATGTAAATGAAGTTCAAAACTATTTGTTTTCTTTCATAATATGAAATAAACAATGCGATTCCATTTGGTTAATATTTTAATTTAATAGTATTAATTTAAATGACTGGGATAAAGATTTATATTCTGTGAAGCATGGAATATAAATAAATAAAAATGTAAACTTTAAGATAGAAATTTCATGTGAATATGTTTATGTATAATATATAAATTATTTATACCCATTTAACAATCAATTTAGCGTTGAAAATTTTTATGCTTACAAATTCAGATCAAATTTTTAGTGAAAAGTCAATGGTATGTTTTGAATGTGAAAATTTTGTTCGAGACTTCTCACCTTGGATTCATCTCGCATGTGCTCCCAAAGCGCTTTACAGTATATTGAGCGTGCGCGCGCATTCCAAAAAAAAAAGGTCTTACTACATGCAAGCTCTCAAGGGTGCTGGGAAATAAAAATCGTTTATGTTAATATATAATTAAAAGAAAACAACATATAAAAATGTTCATTAGTCTTTATCTAAGTACAACACATTATAATTTTTCAGAAAAAGTTGGTTAGTCTTTGCTTCAAAACTTCCTGTTCAGAATGAAAAGCCATCTATGTATAAGCCATAAAGACTGAATACATCATGATTTTCTCAGGCAATGACCATTATGGCCGAACCTGGAACTAGAACTAGACTCATATTCATGTCATAAAGATTAGATAATTATAATTTTCGTGCAGCTGGTTTCCTAGAGGACCAAAAATAAAGAATATTTCTTTTCTGATTAATACAGGCATGTAGTATCATTATCAGAAAAAAGGAGAATTGTCCAAACCCGAAAATCCTTTTCCGTTGGAGAAGGAGTAGGGGTGGGCTACAACTTACTTTCACATTTCGAATTTCATTAATTCATTACCAAATTACCGTACTTTTAATATGCCTACAATAAAATTAATTAAAATTAGACTGTCCATTTTTGCTTTTAGTAAATCTGTTCGTCGCTCGTGATAAATACCTGGTTTATATTACGAAGAGTGAGATGAAAGTTCCAATTTAAATTTGATTGCGAAGAGTCATCAACCTTTCAATGTACATTGTCCATTGTAAAAGTTTATGTTTGAAAAATGGTGACACCCCTAGTTCCTCCGATACTATATATGTGCCTGTATGAATCAGCAAAACCACTCAAAGTGCACTGTTACCATGCATAACCATTGTGAGCTTAATGTTTAGAAAGGTATAAATGTATTTTCATTAAAAATATCACCAAGTCCTATCCTGGGGTCTTAACGTTGGGTTCTGGACCGTAAATTTTAATTATTGGTAGATGGGTTGTTGTTAATCATAATCATACAAACTCTACCTGTTAAATATCAATGGTCAGAAAGAAAGATTTTCAAATATGTACTAATTTAGGATTAGACAATACTAAAGCCCGGCTTTCAGTACTTTCAGTACTTTGATTAGTTCATTTGAGTCAAAGGCTCAATTGAGCTTTTCTGATCACATTTTGTCTGGTGTCTGTCTGTCTGTAAACTTTTCACATTTTTGACTTCTTCTCAAGAACCACAGGGCCAATTTCAACCAAACTTGCCAAAAAGTATCCTTGGGGATTCAAGTTTGTTCAAATGAAGGGCTACACCCTCTTCCAAAGGGAGATAATTACAAATAAGTAAAAAATTCATGACATCTTTTAAAAATCCCTTTTTAAAGAACCACTCAGCCAAAAAAGTTGAAACTTAATGTGAAACCATCCTCATGTACTCTAGATTCAAATTTGTTCAAATCTTGACCATGGGATAGGGAGGGGCCACAGTGGGTCATCAAAGTTTTACATAGGAATATATAGGAAAAATCTTCAAAAATCTTTTCAAGAACAGCACAGCCACGATTGGTCAAATTTATATGGAAGCATTTTCAACTTGTGTTGATTCAAGTTTGTTAAAATCATGACCCCCCCCCCCCCCCCCCAGTAGTAGGGAGGTGTCACAATGGGGGATCAAGGTTTTACAAAGGAATATATAGGGAAAAAACTTTAAAAATCTCCTGAAGAAGAACACCAAAGCCATGATTTGTCATAATCATAAGTCATGAAAGCATTCATTTCTCAAGTAGTATAGATTCAGGTTTGTTCAAGGGAGGTGCCACAATGGGTGTTCAAAGTTTTACAATAGAATAGAAGATAAATGTATAGGAAAAAATCTTTAAAAATTTACACAAGCCATGATTAGTCATAGAAATATTGAAACATCCTCAGGTAGTGTTGATTCAAGTGTGTTCAAATCATGTCCCAACCCAAACCCCTTTCAACTAAATGGTCATGCCCTCTTTCAATGGAAGATAATTAAGATTTTTTCATTTTCGACCCCATTTGCCCCCCCCCCCCCCAGTGAAATGAAAATTCCCAAACCTTATTGCACATCTACAAGACACCATCAATCTTTTTCCAAAAATCGATTAGGCTACTGCATGAAATGTAAGAGGATTTCTGGGTACCAGGGTCTTTCCTTTGTTATACATACAGACCAGTAGAGCTACAGTCTCATCAGAGATTTCTGGTTTTGTATATAAAACATAATTTTTGACCCCCATTTAATCCCCAGGGTGAAAATTCTGAAATCTTATTGCACATCTACAGGACACCATCAGTCGTCTTCAAATAGATGATTAGGCTACTGCATAAAATATAAGGAGTTCTGGAAACCAATGTCTTTTTGAATAAAAAATGTCATTTTTTGACCCCCATTTGACCCCCAGGATGAAAAATGAAAATTCTGAAATCTTAAATCTTATTGCACATCTACAGGACACCACCAATCATCCGCCAAAAGATGATAAGCCACTGCATAAAAAGTAAGAAGAGTTTTGGGAGCCAGGGTGTTTTTGTAAAAATGAAAATTCTGAAACCTTATTGCACATCTATAAGAGACCACCAATCATCTTACAAAAGATGATTAGGCTACTGCATAAAATGTAAGAGGGGGGTTGGGAGCCAGGTCATGGTAAAAAAAAAAACCCCATCATTTTCGACCCCCATTTGCCCCCCAGGGTGAAAATTTAAAGTCTGAAACCTTAATGCACATCTACAGGACACCACCAATTATCTTTCAAAAGATGATTTGGCTACTGTGTAAAATTTAAGAGGAGTTTTGGGAACCAGGTTTTTGTATGGTTAATAGAATAAGAGAATTATGCAAGAATTTTTATTGTATGATACAAAAAGTACTTTCTTAGTTTTAATGATCAGGTAGACCTGTAAATAGTAGATAAATAAAAATGAGACAAAAGTAGCTTATCTTATTAAATGTTCTTCAAAAACCAAGAGAGGTTAATGTGAGAGGTGATAATATGGGGTAAAAAATACAGAAGCACTTATAGTTTGTTAATAGTCTGCATGGTGATAGTGATAAGTGGAGGACAGATAACAACTTAATTTATGAGTTGTTACTGAATACTAGACTAATTATTTCATTGATCCTGATCATCTATTTCTCTTGCTTTTGGGCAACAAAGCTTCATTTATCAGTTTATTTTACACTCTATGGATCTTTTAAATTGTTGTATTATACTCAGGTGACTGTCAAGGCCCTTGGGTCTCTTGTCATTTTTAATTTCGATGAGCGGTGTTGCCATGGTTACTAAAAATAGAATTTTTTTTGGAAATTCTCCTCCTCCATTTTTTTCCCTATTGCAATTAAACCTGAATCTGAAAGAGACTAGATCAAGTATCATTATTTTACATATTGCTGTTGCCATGGGTTCAAGTTTAAGTGCTACCTTTCTCTACCTTTGTTGATTAAGTAAAAACCAGTAGAGCTACAGTCTCATCATAGACTTCTATTTAAAATAAATATTTGTAAACACTTCATTCCACATGATATTTTAAGTGTCTTTGTATGAATTAGTTATGGTGATGAAGTAGGTAAGGGTACAAAACATTAAACAAATTAAAACATAATTAAACAATCTAGACAAATTGATTTAATCAGTATGTGTTTATAATTACAAGAAATGTGAAGTCTGAAATAACAAAAAGTCTTATGTAGCAAGAATTTACCATAAATGTACTCTTCATTAGATGCAGAAGCATCTTATTGCTTACTGTTACATCAGAAACATTGCTAACATGTATGTCATCCATTTATGTAAGTTGAATTGATGTGTCATAAAAAAAATGCTTGGATAAAAACAATCTTTTGTTTCTCCTGAAAAGTGTCAAAATTTTATGTAAAAAATGATAAAAGTGAGAAGATGACAAAATGATAATTTGATATAAATGAGAGAATGTGAAACAAGTCTTTGAAACTTTGAGACTTTATCAGATGTACATTAGATAACAATAGACAAGAACTTTACAAAAAGTGTCAGTCCTGTACATGAAAAAAAAGAATTTTTTTTTCTTTCATAATTTTTAATTAATTAGCTCATAATAAAGTTATTTTTGCAAGGTTTATTTTCATTTGCAGTAACAAATTACCCTTTGCAGAGTATTCATGTCAATATATATTTTGATTATTTTTTTTCTTTGTACAGAGACAGAAAGGTCCAACAGTTCTGAATGGGGAGGAGGAGTTCCAACAGTTGCTTCAGAGTGATGAGGTGAGGGATTTGAAATATTATAGTTCATACTTGTACCCAAAATTTATTGCATACTCTTTAAAAAATTATTTCTCTGCAATTTTTAACTCTATTGGTCAGAGACCAGAAGAGCTTATGCAGTAGTGCGGTGTCCTTCATCCATCTGTCTAGCTGTTTGTCTGTTCATCTGTTTCCAATGTCTGTAAACAATTATTCAAAATACTACTCCTCCCACAGTTTTGCTCCTATTTCAGTATAACTTGGCATACAAGTAGAGTACACTAAGATACATAATTCTTTGTATGATTTTTATATTTCGATGAACAGTGTTCCCATGGTAACTAAAAATAGAGATTTCTGTGAAATACTTTCAAAACGCTACTCCTCCTACAATTTTGATTTCATTAGAACCTTGCACTGAGATATATAACTCTGTTTACAGTTTTAGATTTTGATGAAGTGTTGCCATGGTTGCTAAAAATAGTAATTTCTGGTAAATTCTTTTAAAATGTTACTTCTACAACAGTTTTTGTTCAATTGCAATTTAACTTGACTCACAAAAGACTACACCAAGGATTGTTATTGTATTCATTGCTGTTGCCATAGTTTTAGTCCAAGTGCTATCTTTCTCTACTTTTGTTAAGTAAAAACCAGTAGAGCTACAGTCTCATCAGAGACTTTTGGTTTTTAAATCTGCTTTGATAGGAATTTAAGTTTGTTACAGCTCTGCATGGTTCAGTCAAGTCGAATAGGGTGTTTTAAATGACCAATCTGTTGATTGCCTAGTGCCCTCTTATTGAGGAAAGTTTTGTCCTTTAATTTGATTACCAAGAAAAGTTGTCACACATCTTTGATTATTTTGAAAGGTCAACAAATATATAGATGGTACTCTGCATTCAAGTATATTTATCTTATAAACCTTAGTATAGTAATTTTTCATTAGAATTAATTAATATATACTGGTTTGTCTATTTGATTTGTGCATTTCAGTTCCTAAGAATGCAAGGTAAAAAACAGAGGGGGAAAGAAGCCATAAATATTGTGGATGTCAACGCTGGTGATTTTATCAGCACTGTAGATGTCACCAAGTCCTTGACAGAGGAACAACCAACTCATTTGTCTCACAAGAAGGGTGAAGGGCCAACATCTAATCAAAAACGAAAACACCAGATCACTTACTTAGCACATCAGGTAAATTAAGGCAGTATCAATAGATCTGATGATTATCAGATAGATGTATTTGTTTAAAATGAAATAGATGAAGATAATATTCCCAAATCCAGTAATAAAAAAAAATGGCAAAAAAGACAAGACTCCTGAAAACACAAGCATCCCCCCTGTCAACCAGTTATATATCTGCCGTATGCCCTCTATATTGATAGTGAAACAAAATCATATATAGTCAAATTGATACAAAAGCAATGGCCTAACAATTGGTTAGAAACACACGACCCAGCGATAGGTTGTATTAGCAAACAAGGTCATTAAATTGATCCAAGAATCTGAAAATGCTACATGTAAGTTCAATGATATAGTCCAAAAATACCCCTTGTAACATGAATTTATTTGTTAGAGCCTGCCTTAGCTTAAAATTTGATCATACTCAGAACATGCTTTTGCATACCGAATCAGTTTGGAGACATAAACACCATGTGCAAGTGATAGTGGAATATTATTGCATAAATAAGGAAAGTTTGAAGATGGAGAAGCCAAAATCATCCCATTTGTCTTACAGTTATTTGTCAGTTGGTCATACGTGTGTATAGTCAGGAAAATATCCAAGTATATGACGAATGTAGCTGACTCAGTCACCATGTACTGTCTTTAACTTCAAGTTCACTGGAATATATCAAGTTGACAAATGAATGAAAATCAATATTGGTCATTGATGGATCCTACTCAAATTTGAACCCATACATAACTCAGTTTTATAGGCTAACACTGTCATTAAGTGACATATATTAATAAACTTATCATCAAATCTTGACAATAATGCTGTTAGTGACCATGTAGTCAGAATATTTATGACAAGAATTTTAGTTGAAATAAGGTGTTTTAGGTGACAAAAAATTATGTTTTTGCTTTGGAAATGGAAATTAAATCAATGAAAGTATTAACAATACTAAGATTTTATAAAAGCTCTTGTATATATATTTTCAGGCCAAGGAGCGCGAGATAGAATTGAAGAATGAATGGTCACAAAACAGACTGACAAGAAGACAGACTCAAGCCAAGTATGGATTTTGAGGAGAAAATATAACTGAATCATCAGTTTCTTTTCCATTGTAACTTGTAGAAAGTGATTTGTATAGATATTCTGTAATTTCTGTTTGATGACATACATGTACAGTAAAACTTGTCTAATCCAGATACCACTGGTTCCAAAGAAATTGGCCAGACACTCCAGATTAATTAGACAATATTTTAAACAAATGAATCTACTAAAAAAAACCAAGTTTACATCATATTAGGCAAGATTTCGGAATACACAACATCCGGGCTAGATAAGTTTTACTTTACAACTTATTTTTGAATTATGCTGTTGTTTGTAAAGAGCTAAGCCCAGGAAGGGTCAAAAACAGCCTCAACTCAAAAATTAATGTTCTTTTAGCCACAAATAGAGTAGACTTTGAGCTTTTCAAAACTGTTTTCCTTATTTGGATATCTTTTATACTTTTTCTAAAAGAGATTTTGCAGTATGGCATTGTTTTGAAAGAAAATTGCAAGACGAACGTCAGTTTGTAACATAACGTCAGGTAACTTCATGGGACTATAAAAATAACAACAAGATTGTATAAACATGAATTGAAATTATATTTTGAGGAACTGACATTTATTTTATTAACATGATGATTAGTTCATGAAAATGTTATCTAAAAACGGCAGATATTGTTTTCAAATTGTGGATATGATGCAGTGACGCTAATAATTAATATACATTTTAAGTATACAGTGGGTCAAACGTCTGTAGGCTTGAATGCAGTTTTGGCAAAAAAGAACATTTTTTATGCAATAAATATTGATGAAATCTTATTTTAATTTATTAATTGCATCCAATTAAATATATTGCATAAAATCAGCTATTATTTAATTGGACATATTTTGAACATGTAACTTGTTAAAATTAAATTCAAGCATAACATATTATTGCAAGTAAGCACAAAACAACTGTTACTGAATTAAATAAAAGCATGACAATGATGTATAAAAACAGTCTCAACAATCAGTTTACTTTTGTAGTATATGTATATATATACACTCTATTTTTTTTCCAATACGTCCATGAAAAAAATCTTAACAAGGAAAATCTCTTTACTTATGTACTATTCAATTGACAATATGTGAATTTTTAATGAACGATTTCATTTTGCATAATATTGTTGTAAAGATGAACGTGAGAGAAACCTTCATTTCTGATAAGAAAGATACACATGCATTGATACTAAGTCTTGTATATAAATATGATAGCAAATATATACATGTATTGTGAAACACGTAATTTTCTTAACAACTTATTTTTGTAAAAAATCAAAAAAAAATTCAACAAAGTCTGTTTTTGAGGTATATAATCTGAAAGTTTAATAATGCAAATGTATGTGGAAATGGCATTTTCAGGAGAAGTCAGTCCTGTTTAATTACGCAAAAGTCAAGTTCTCTTGAATTAAAAGTGATTTCTAGTAGTATTACATGTTCAAGAAGTACAGTACATGTATACATGTAAATAATAAATTAATCATTCCTCAACCACACTTTCATCACTTTTACTGTCATTACCAATCTGTGGCATATTGCTGGCATCTTCCAAGTAAGCTTCCCAGTTTTGCACACCATATTTAAATGTCTGTGTTATGTCGTGCATATCCGAAATACCACAGGATGGAAACTATATGTGCACAGACACCGACTACCCTCGCTCCCGATTTGAACTTGCAATACCAAGCAGTCACTTGGATTGTACTCAATCCACAAAATGTAAACATTGGAAGCTACATGACGACTCTGTATTTTAACTCGAATTAGGGATTCATCCTCTCGATGGACGAAAAACTGACGGTTCCCTTCCATATTTTCATGGATATAGTTTGAGCTCATTCTGATTTGTTATACGCCACATGTGATGTTTCGTAGATTTTCTTCATTGAGCCTAGGAAAGTCTTTAAGATTATCACTTGGTTCTTACCACACAGCAGTGGGTTTTCCTAGGTTTTCATCTTCAAGTCGTTGCTTTAAAGTGTTGATCTTTTGAGAGAGAGATAGAGCATCTTGGCCGCCAAAGCCTCTTCATCATCTTGACCTGTAATTTACAAAATTAATAACAAAATGTTAATATTGTTACTTAATGTCAAGAGAGAAGTGGCTACCAATTATAACTTATACACTAGACAAAATTGCTAAGTGGTGCACTGAAGAAAATTAATATTTTACTTTTCAAAACTTGTTTATGATGTATTTGATATATAATTGTGTTACTTAAATAAAAAATGAGGCATTTAAATGTCCTAACTGATAAATAACTACAATGTTTACTGAAACGTAACCATTTCATAGAAAAAATTAAAATCGTGTCCATACTTTTTTGGAAGAATAAATTTCTATTTTTTCTTTGTGTTTGTGTTCTTTATGTTTGTACTAATTAAAAACTCAGAAAAAAAGTAACACCGTATGCGGCGTTTGACCTAGAAGAGCGTGTTAAAGCAGGCAGTTTGGTGTCTGCAGGGGGTTCCTTTGGAGAAATTTGAAAAAAAAAAAATAAAAACAATTAAAAGATTATTAATTCTTCTAATGAAAAATTGTTGCAAAAAGATTAACAAACATAAAAATGTTTACTATAGATAGCCACGGCATAAAGTAAGCAGCACACGATAATTTCAAGATTGTTTCACAAAATTGGGGCAACCGGAAGTTGGGTGGATTTGGTATGGACACCAAGGCACTGGGTGACTACTAGGCGATATGGTAGTTAATAACTGTATGTTATTTGATTTTTAACTGGGAGACTGCTTCCGTGGCAACCTCACGGACCACCTTTGGTGATCACCAACTTCATATCTGGGCAAAAACGGTGCGCAATGCAGATCGGGAAATTGGTTTTCGTGCAAGAATGTCATTTAAGGGTCTTGTCATGATACCAAGACATTTGTCAATCTCACTGTTTTGGAAAAAATAGCATATTATATATATTAGTACCGATCAGGCAAATGTTAAATTTACAAATAAGAATAACAAGTGGTGCGTTAGCAATTTTGTCTAGTGTATAAGTATAATGCTTTCTAAAAGACATATGTTACACTAATAATTATCAAACATAATATGGAAAGTATTTTGAAATACTTATTTAACTGTAGACAGTATAAATTCAGATGCTAGTATTTATTCATGTACTACCTGTAGCAAGTGAGGGGAAGGTACTTGTTTGCTCTGACACAGACAATAGAGACATAATCTCTGATGTAAGGGACTTGATTTGTTGTTAAGATGTTTGTGAGAAACTTCCAACTTTTGATTCTAGCGTTGGCAGAAAACGACCCAGCGCACCTAGAGAAATTGGACAAATGAACTAAGAACACATTTACCATTTCAAATATTAGAAATATGATTTCTTTAAAATATATTTCTTTTTTTTTTTTTTTTTTTACAATTACCTTGGTCACTAATCTACTTGTGTTGGCTTCCTCTGTTGTCATCTGGGCTTGTCCCTTTGATATAAAGGAAAGCATCTTCGCTGAAATTCCCAAGTCTTCCAAAAGATCTAGAGAATCACGAAATCCTCTGTCTATAATAAAGATGTCCTCATTCTCTATCCAGTTTTTATGGACCTAATATGGCTATAAAATAACCAGTTGTGGAGACGACGACCATCGGCTTTACCAGGGTTCTTCCCTTATGCAAACTATAGGTTCTTCTTTGAAACTGGAAATTTCCGCTCTTTTGAAGATAGATATACGTTCCATCTAACACAAGAATTGCCTCTGTGCCACTACCAAAGAGAGACTGTGCTAGGGGTCTTGTATGATTTTCGATTACTTCGGCACGACTGATGTGATCAAATCCCAAGTAGTGGGGTACAAAGTTTTTAGCTAATGCTTCACGTACAGATGCAACTGCTCTTTTTATGCTTGACTTTGATATTCCAAAGACTGTAGATAACACTATGCTGGATATACCAGTTTTCATTTTAAACAGGAAGATGCCCAACGATGTTCTTGTGCTTCTGGTCGGTGTATTTCTGATAGTATTCACAGTGTAGGTATGTAGATCATCAAAACCTTCTTTGCTTAGACCTGTAAGGTTTAGGTAGTCTGTTTCATTAAAGGTATTTTCATTATCAAAGTTAATTCTAGATATTTCATTCTGCAAAGCTGCATCCCTCAAGTTTTTCAGAAGACTCACAATTGTACTCCTGTTGAGAACAACGTCGTTGTTTGTGGAATTCATAGCTGCTATCGCTTCATTTGTAAAGGCATCTTCATGAAGATGTAGTGGGCAACAACGACTTCCAGCAGAAATTATAATTTCATTATGAAGAAATATAGAAAATCTTGCTTGTGAGGGTACGTTGACAAGCTTGTGGCCAGGTTTCTTGCATAAAAAGCAATAGGCATGCGTTTTTGGCGTTGATGGTATAGACAGTTTTACTGAAGGTGGACTAAAGAGAATGCTTCTTCTTGATGTTGATGTTGGTGGGACGTAATCATCGTCTGTTTCACAATCGATGACGTCATCTCTCTTAGACGTCTTCTGCTCCTTCTGTCTATATAGTGCCTTCTTCTACACTTATCACAAATGACATCCTCTGTTTTTGCTTCAAGCAGAAAGTTCTTTCTAAAAACATTTGGACAATGAATGGTGAGTGTATCTTCTCTCCCATGGTTTTGTTCTTTTATTGCATAGAATACACGAGTAAAACTTGCGGCTTACAGGTGACATTCTGAAAAAAAAAAAATTAAAATGTGACATTATATACCATTTAAAAAGTCAAGTGATTAAAAAAACAGTTGGTAGTCAACTTTGAAATATTTGACTAGAAATATAAGCATATATACAATTCATTTTATTTACCTCAGTCCTCTTGTTTTATTTTATCAACTTAAGTTTTCATTGTTTAATATTAAATTTTCAAATCAACAATTTTTCACAGAAGCTACCAGCATATATCTATCAATGTATTAATCATTTACATGTATTAGTCATGTAGATTCCAATTGACCAAATAATATATATGATACGTTAATTGAAAATCGTTGATAAAATCAGGCGTGAATGAAGGAATTTTTCCAAAGGGGGGGGGGGGGGCGCCACAGTCCAACCAAAAAAAAAAAAAAAAAAATCCTACACGGAAATTTATTGACCCTAAAACCCTAAACTCCTTTCTCAAATACAGATAGATATATGTCATATTAATTTATGTGTATGGGTAATCGCCCGCGTGGTGCAGTGGTTAGAGCGTTTGCTCTAGAGTCGCGGAGTAAGGAGTTGATCCTTACGTCGCGGGTTCGAATCCCACTGTGGGACGTGGAGACCGGTCCTTCGGATGAGACCGTATAAACCATAAAACCAAGGTCCCGTGTCGCAGTAGGTGCTGGCACGAAAAAGGTCCCTCACTGCTCAATGGCCCTAAGTGCCGAGTATAGGTCAAAATTTGCAGCTCTCCACCGGCAAGTGGTGGCGTCTCCATATGAGTGAAAAATTCTCGAGAGGGACGTTAAACAACAATAAACAAACAAAAATGTGTATGGGTAATAAATATTGCATAAGTATTTTATCATAGTTTTGTTTTAATTAACCATTCATAAACTTTTGAGATCACCAAAAAGAAGAAAGAAATAGTAAACATAATACACAGTCAACATTATGTCTTAACATTTATTAACTGAGTTCGAAGGCAACATGCATTTTGTGGGACCCATGGCAAGATCCAAACCTCTTTGGCTGAGGCTGTGAGACCCAGTGTCGCTTAATATACAATGACACAAGGTCCAACCTTCCTCTATAATAAAAGGTGTACTTTCAGTCATATATGCAAATTACATTTAAGAAACGTTGTTAGATTTAAGTGTACTGGTGTTGTGGCATAGACTTTCATCCTGCATATTTTAACCTTCTGGAAAAGTCGCCTGCGTGGCGCATTGGTTAGAGCGTTTGCTCTAGAGTTGCGGAGTAAGGAGTTGATCCTTACGTCGCGGGTTCGAATCCCACTGTGGGACGTGGAGACCGGTCCTTTGGATGAGACCGTATAAACCGAGGTCCCGTGTCGCAGTAGGTGCTGGCACGAAGAAGATCCCTCATTGCTCAATGGCCCTGAGTGCCCAGCATAGCAGCTCGCAACTGGCAAGTGGTGGTGTCTCGATATGAGTGAAAAATTCTCGAGAGGGAACAACAAACAAACAAATCTTCTGGAAAATTGGACCCGGGATTATAGTCCCCCCTCCTCACAGAAAAATGGGCATAGCATAGAATCCCCCCCCCCCCCCCGGAAGAACAACCCTGGCTTGATTTTCCACCAAAAGATATACTTTCTCGATACAGAATTTACCTAAAAATAATAGTACACATTTCTGCCCCCCCTCCCCCCCCCCCCCCAGGAGAAACAACCCGGCTTGATTTTACACTATAGGAAATACTGCCTCAGTACAGAATTTTCCCACATAACAGTACATGTAGATCTTCTTACTAGTTAGAATTCTATCAATCTATACCAACGGAGCGACTTGTATCTTTTTTTTTTAAATAAAAAAGAGAGGGTTGAAATTGTGACGTATATCAAGGTTCATAATCAACATGTTTTAATACATATTTTGTATTGAAGTTTAAAAAATTATGAAAAGAAATAATCAATTTGTTACTGTTACTCTCCAGGCTTGTAGCAACGGTTTCAAAAGTGGGAGGGGGGGGGGGCTTCCAATAAAACCTGACAAGCAAGAAAAAAACCTAATTTCTACAAAAATGTTGGGGCGGGGGGCAACTTCCCAAAATAATAATTATGACAAAAAAGAACCTTAACTGTCCAAATCCTGGCCAGTGCTCGACCCTATAGTAACAAGGGCGGGGAGGGGGGGGGGCAGCATGTAAATGAAAATTTATCATAGCAAAATACTATACTCAGAAAAGGAGGGCCTCCAGCATTCTACGGGCCTGCTGTTTTGCTTCTCATTTAAGCCACACTCGGGATTATGCTGAATTAACCCGTCCTAAAGGTAAATAAAGTGTCAGGAATAAGAGTAAAATATTGGTTAATTAACAGAAACCATACTTTAAGTTGGGGACGCATATACTATACATGTAATACAAGAAATTGATACCCAGAGCGAGCTACAAAAAAGCGTCACAGTAAATCGAAGGTTTTTAGTACTTTTTACAATGTTGTTTAAGAAAATAATATTTTCCTGGACAGTATTATGTTAGTCAATATATTCGAAAGCCCATTGGGCTCATTTTCGGTAGTTAAAAAAAAATATTTTTTTGCGTAATAACGCATAACTTTCACGAATAAACGCGAAACTTTCGGGTTATAACGCGTAACTTTCAAGAGTAAATACGAAACGTAGCATTATAAGGCGTTATAACGCGAAATTATATAGGTATAGTCAGGCCAATCAGGAA